TCAAGGAGCATCAATAGTAGGCTGGAAGAACATCCTTATCTTTGAAGGCTTATCATTATCTATATACCACTTTGTAATATGCAATGATTTTTCGCGATTTTTGCTTAGAGTAGCAAACTGCATCACGCTAAAGCACGAAATCTTATGATAAGACAAAAGGCCTTCTAGTAAACGAATGAATTAATATTGTCTTTTAGTGTCGTATGTTTTGCTAAGCAGCGCTCAATACATCTCTTCAGCCATATGTACATTTCAAAAATTTTTGTCAATAACATGCCCGATATCTCATTTAGAACTAAGCACAATGCCTTATTGCGGAATGATTTACAGCGCCAATATCTGAATTTAAAATATAAGTCAAAAATAACCACGAGCTGGAAGCAAGAAGTTGGAATACCGAGCCGCAATGTTGCTCATTACATCGCCTTTGATTTCTTTACTGCTTCACTACTTCTTACTAGTTTCTTTTTGCACTGTTGTCGCTTAACCTAGAAGAAAACATAAATGACCAGAAGTATGCCACTTCTCTCCTTTTTCTCTCTAGGAACGCGCTTGCGATTGAAACAGAACCACCCATGAGCATTTTCTAAGGGTTGTAAAGAGGCCTCGAGGAAAAAGTTTGGATTTGTTTTGTGCTAATAGAAAAAATACAGATGCAACTTATGAAACATAATCATAAAAAATTATGTGTGCAAGGTTCGGGTCCATTCATGTTGGCACCCAGCTGGAACGGTTCCAGCTAGTTCGGGAAGTCCGCCACGGCCTTTAATCAGGCGAGTTTTCTTGAATTTTCAGCCAGTGTTCCCGTTCCTTCATGTGCATGTGAACTCCAAATTGGTGTCATATCATTGCGTTTTGATTATAAACAAAGCATTTTCTTAGGGCACAAATGTTATCCTCCGTAGTGCATCGTGTTAGAGCATGGGAGTAGGCGTCTTGGCTTGATTAAATTTGTGAGGATGTCTGGATGGACAGTTCCTATTTGGGTATGAAGGCTTGAGTCTGATGTGGTATGTGTTTTATTCTCGCTTATGTACTTGTCATCGGATATAATCAGCGCACAGTCTGGTTACTTAGAGGCTGTAGGAGTATTCGCGAAGAGTTTCGCATTCTATATCCAAGAGGGGTGGCATATCTTGAAAAAAAATTACTTACACAAACAACTGCAGATAGGT